CCGGAGTTCTTGTTACCAAAAAACTCGCAAACATTAGTTTTTTTTAATCAATAATACCATTTAAATTAAAGTTCAATGCACGAAAATTGTTTTAAAAACTATGCAAATGCTAACTTAATATAATTTATCACAGTTATCATTAATAGATTTCATTAGTTTATGTTGTAAGTTTTATATATAATGGCTATAAACTTTTGCAGCGTGATTTTAACTGTTGAAAATAAATTTTTTAAACTAAATTGGTAGAATAACAATAAAAACAAATAAATTCAAAGCACTATACTTTTATAAGGAATTTTAATCAGGACTTCTGCTGTTCCGGACCCCTGAATAATTCTATCTCTCTCCCCTCTTTGAGCACGGCTTTGACTATACCGCAAAAAATTACATGTAAAATGTTCTTAAATTTTCATGTAAAATAGCTACTTTTTCATTGAAATTCTAGCATTTCTGAATTTACCATAGAGCAGACTTGTATACCCGGCTTTACCCCATTAGTAGGGTAAGATTGGGTTAATTCACTTTTCCAAGAAAAAAATCATTTATATTAAAAAGTAGTACGTTGGCCTCTCAGGAATGATGTATAGTACACAACTAAACAGCGAATATCTTGGTTAACTCTGACTGTTTCTAAATCGAGTAGTTTGGTCGAACAACTCCAACAAGCTTTCGAATCTCAGCTACCCTCACTTTCTCCTATCATATTTTATCAAAAAACAGGAGCGTTAATGTAAAACAATAATTGAAATAAAGGGAAAAAATTAATTAGTTTTGCATAAGAAATATAATTAAATTTTTTTATGCGAAACCAATTTATTTATGTCTTTTACTGAATTATTCTTAATTTCAACGCATCAATATTTTTACATTTATATTCAAACTTACATGAATGCTCGATCTTTGAACGGGTGAACAATTAATAAATAAGTACCGAAAAACGCTACTAAATCGTGCACAAAACTGAAATACAAAATAATAGAACTGAATGGATGCTGACACAATTAATAAAGCTGAAATGATTCCGAATTATTTAAAAAAAAAACCTCTTTCCACAGTATCTGTATCAAACTGTACAGAATTGATGGAGTATTAATGGGTACCAAATACACTAATTATCCCTATATTAGTATCAATTTATCCTCACCATGGCAACCACTTCAAAGTAAACACTAATTCAATTAGCACTTGTGACATCACGAATATAAATATGACAAGGCGGAGAATCACTGTTACGTATCCAACAAGAATCACAATCGAATCACAGTTATAGAATCATCAAGAATCAGAACAAGAATCACAGGATGCGTAATTCATCCACTACAAGTCTTGTTACCATAGAAATTTGCCTGTTGTAAACAACAACAACTATATCGTGACGTCGGAACAGGGTGGCAACGCATTCAGATTAAAAAGCAGAATGGACAAAATTCACTCTTAATTTATGCAGAATTAAGAATAACTTGAACACAGTCGTTAATTATTCATTTAGCAATAATAAAAGTCAGCAAAACTCACTCTATTAGAAAAACACGAAGCACATCAGTTGCAACGTGACGAAACTTAGGTCGCCATCTTGAGCTTGTAACGTTAAAGATCCAATTTTATCTGTAAAGTCTCAAAATTCACCACACAAGCAAATAACACTCCGTAGAGTAAAACTACGATGATAAAATCAATAAAATACATTAAAACTCACATTAACAACGTTAAAATCGGCTAAAAACATCGTTGATCCCTTTATTAGTATGCTTGCCCCCTCTTAAACCTGCATCAATAGCCATATTTCCAAAACAACTGTACCCAAAATTAATAAAACAACATCGGCGTCAAAAGTAGTATGGTGATTTTTACTTTTCTTATAAACAAATTTAAAAAATTTCTCCATTACTTTTGCTTTATTTTTAAATAGCTTATTATTTGTTTCAATTAGTACCTATTAGCGAAATTAATTAAAGAAATCACTACCCGTTCGGATACTGGAGAGGAGGTTGATCATGCTCTAGTTCAGGTCAAAATTACGATCTGCAGAGGAATGAATGACTTGTTAATGTCATTCATTGCTCTGCAGATCGTAATTCTGACCTTGCATTAGTTAGAGAGGCATTAATGAGTCCTCAATGCAAAACGGGATTTGACGTGTGCATGAAGCCTCTGGATCTTTCTCAAAGATGTTTCCCAGGCCATCACTAATAGCCAATTGTGCAGCTCCAGTGCTAGGTAAATACAAAGTACAGTGAATTGCAGCATCAAAATTAATTAAACTTTAATGGCGGCAATAATAGTACTGCAATTTTTCATGGTTACTCTAAACGATTAAATACCTTTTCTCCCTTAACTTTGCTTTTTAATAAATAGGTTATTCTTTTTATTCCATTAAAGTATTCTGTAAATAAAAACTCATAGAAACTATTGAGTTAAACACTGGGTATTATAAATATTTACTCTTAACAGCAAGAAAAATTGCAAGGCGAATTACAGCATATAACCTTGAAAAGTTCTTACTAATGTCAACAAAAAAAAACTAAAGCCTACCTTACTAATACAGAAATGCGAAAAATCCAAAAAAACAATGAGTAACTAACATAATAATTTTATCTATTTGCAAAATGCTTGGTAGAAGCTACTGAAACTAACTAAACATTTTACACAAAAGTAACTACGGTTAAGGCAAAGTTAAGGAGCAAGCAAATTTCCAAGCAAGAAGAACGAAACCAAATCAAATGAAAGTGGAAGGTTTAATATGAAATATACAGATATCACAAACTAACACTCATGCTAAATGTTAATAAATGTTTAGGAACAATCCATATAAAGCATTGAATTTTAACAATTCAGCTCATGACTCCTCCATTGTGACAATTCGTTGCTCTGAGAGGCATCGTAGAAAAGATCACCTGCTGCAATTACTCAATCAAAAACATACCAAACATGCTCTAAGGGATTATTCAGATCTGGAGATCTGGCTGGCCACTTCATCCTCTGAATATCTCAAACTTTAAGAAATTCATCAACATTCTCAGCCCTATGTAGACGCGTGATGCTTTTTCTTAAGAATAAACTGGAATCAGACAGCACCTTTTAACAATCTTACATAGAAGTTCGGAGATCTCAGCCCAGGTAATAGTGTACCCTAATAGTGAACCTAATAGTGTAGTGTACCCAGGTAATAGTGTACCTGTATAATTATAGAGAAGTCAAGAGACCAAATGGAAGAGGGGTAAGTTCGTTCAGCCATCGTTCAGCCGCTTTTGAACAATCTTGCATATGAACTAGAAGACCCTAACTAATCGACAATTACTAACCGTCGTTGAAAAACCGACCGAATTTTCAGTTTACGGCTACCAGTGCTTAACTCCATAGCCTTGTAATCTTGAACACAATCTAGAAAACAAGGGAGCTCTTGTATCAAGTATTGGGAGAAATCGTCTTCGAGGAGGATTTTTTGATGGAACTAACCCGCATTTGCGTTACATGGAGAGGAAAACCACAAAAATCTACCATGGTTGGCAAGGGAACTTTAACCCATGATCCGTCTACCACTGATGATATTTTACGTCAGCACTGTGGTCGGTGTGAGTCGAGTGAGAATTCGTATCGACCAGTCATCGCCGGGATTCGTACCCGGGTTCACATCATTGGGAGGCTAGTGCTCTATACCCCTGAGCCACCACGGCTCTAGCTCAATATTATAGAGGAATCAAGAGAACAAATGAAAGAGGTGTGGGTTAGTACAGCGGTCGTGTAGTCTCTTTTGAACAGTCTTACGTATGAGCTCGAAGATTTCAGCCTAATATTACAGAGAAGTTAAGCGTTGGTTGGAGAGGCGTTGGTTCGTTCAACCGTTCAAAATCATGCCAGCTAGGACCATAAGAACCTAAACCTCAATAGCTGTCCACTTTCATAATGCTGGAAGAATATTATAATAACATTTTAGTTAATTTAACTTTATAATAACTTTGTCAAAATTTTAAAAATATCTATAACTTTAAAATTTAATAACTAGGTTCAATAGAACAAATTTGAATGAATAAAATAAAACAGAAGTTATTTCAAAATATTTATTAGTAAATTAATAAGAAAGGAAATGTGGTTCATTTACTGTTCCATAGAGGAACCAGAATCCATATAATGGCTGAAAAGTTGATAAATTAAAAAAGTATACTATTTATTCCGAATTAGATATTAGACTGTGAATGCGCACAATACTTCACAAAATTTAGTAGATTCTTGTATACTTAACTTTAAAAAAAAGGTATGGTCAAAACTACCAGAATACAATAAAATTTATCGTATTTATCGGGGTCTAAGGAAACACTAAAAAGAACGGTAATATTTGCAAATGATTTTGATGAAATTAACAATAAAATATACTTTTATATTATGTGATAAAACTTGGTAAATGTGGTAAAATTTGATGCTTTTATCAAGATATCCTAGTGCATGGTGTAAAAATCATTTATACAGTTTAATTTAGTTTTCTGATATGTATTTCTCACTTAATAAATTGAAATAAAAACAATAATTTTGAAAAATCGGAATTCCTAGTAAAACGTTATTATTTGAATGAAAAAATTGCAAAAAAAAACAGGTTTAAATAACATATATTTCGGTTTTATTAACCAGAATTTCGTTGGCTTCTTTACCTGAAATGTTAGTATCATGTAGAACAAGTTTACCAGAATTTATTTTATTTATTTTGTGTCAGAAAATTATCGAGTCAAATTTAACAGCAAACATTTTGCTTTATTTATAAATTTATGCCGATTTCTGATACGTTATTGTTGTATTATTTATTACAACTTGCTCTAATGATTGAAATTTATCCTTTTTGTTCCAATTTAAAATAACAGGTAGCAAAAATTCCGAAATGTGACAATGCAAATAATAAACGATTAAGTTTAAATTGCTTGCTTGTGCTCCTTAAAAAACAATAATTTATTTAAAAATTTTGAATTATATCCCACTGCCATCTTCACTTCATAATATTTTGTGCATGACAAAGCGATAAAAGTGGTTAAAAAGCTAAACGCTCTAGAAGCAAATATTTTAACTTCGTGTAGCCTCTACCATTGCTTCTTCATTAAAAAATTAAAAGTAAGTAAATATTTTCAGTTTTTAAAAATATTTTTATTTAATAATATTCATTAGAATAAAAATACCGTAGGAAATCGATAACAAAACAAAGAAATGACATCTTGAGTTGTTGAGTGCAGAGCAATTATCTAAGTTCGGATTATGTTTTAATTTGTATACAAACCACAGCAATTACTCCTATTTTCGGCTGACGTATGACGTATTTGAATTACTAAATATTTTTAACTAAATAAATAAATTAATGATTAGAAATGTAAGCTATTTTTTTATCATTATTAAATAAAGATAAAACATTGTCAATAGAAAAAATATAAAATGTAAGGAAGTAACGAAATAATATCATACAAAAGTAGATTTTCTTTACAAAATGAGGTATAATATCAGTTTTAAAAAAACTTCCTTCATAAGTTTTGGTTAAAAACAAGAAAACATCTCTTAAAGAGTAAATTAAAAGAAACAAATAGACGAATAATTCGAAAAATTAGAGCAAGCTGCTTTTCATGCTAAAACACTCATACATATACAAGGTATCTCAAAAGCTGCCACAGATTTTTTTTACAAAAAGTGTAGAAAACCGTAATATAATAGAAATAAATGTATGGTTTGTTGTCCTTTGATCAGGAAACTAATAAGTTTTCTCTTTCAAAGTTTCAAAATTAGCAGAAAATCAAAATGATATTGAAATAAATGTACTGTTTGTTGTTCTCTGCATAGGAAACTAAGTTTTTTGCAAAGTATCAGAATTATTTGCAATGTTCATAAAAAAGGCACTGCAAATTCTAAGAACTATGATACAATGTTTCCGAACTAACTGTATTTCACAACATGAATGAAAATGCCTGACGTGCAACTGAAAACATTGTTTTGTAGTTTTACCAATCAGAACTGCAATCTGTTAATGAGCATTTTTTTAATGTGATGAATGTTAATGAATCCATATGTCAATGAAATCAGGAAATTTGATTGAAAAAATATTTTTACCTAAGCAGATAGCTGCAAGCCGTATAATTTTGTTTTTCGCTTTTCCTTTCCATTTCTGTTTTAACATCTCAAGTCATCTTCTCTTTTTGACACCGGTAAACAAAAATAGTATGTTAAACAATGCATTTGCTTTATACAAGTTTTTGCATGCGAGAGAAAATTACGTTTTGAACTGAAAATATTTTTCTTTTACAGATGCTCCGTTTTACAGTTATTTTAGTTATCTTAATGGGATGCGTGCATGAATTATGTTCCCAAACTACGGAAGCAGTGCCTGCAGATGAAATGACAACACAAGGAGGGGTAGATTTAACTGAAGCTGAGACCTCAAACCCGATTGAAATGACAACACAAGGAGAGGCAGATTCAACTGAAGCTGAGACCTCAAACCCAAATGAAATGGCAACGCGAGGAGAGGAAGATTCAACTGAAGCTGAGACCTCAAACCCGATTGAAATGACAAAAGGTGAGGCAGATTCAACTGAAGCTGAGACCTCAAACCCAATTGAAATGACAACGCAAGGAGAGGCAGATTCAACTGAAGCTGTGACCTCAAATCCAATTGAAATGACAACGCAAGGAGAGGCAGATTCAACTGAAGCTGAGACCTCAAACCCGATTGAAATGACAACGCAAGGAGAGGCAGATTCAACTGAAGCTGAGACCTCGGACCCAATTGAAATGTCAACGCAAGGAGAGGCAGATTCAACTGAAGCTGTGACCTCAAACCCAATTGAAATGACAACGCAAGGAGAGGCAGATCCAACTGAAGCTGAGACCTCAAATCCGATTGAAATGACAACGCAAGGAGGGGAAGATTCAACTGAAGCTGTGACCTCAAATCCGATTGAAATGACAACGCAAGGAGAGGAAGATTCAACTGAAGCTGAGACCTCAAACCCAATTGAAATGACAACGCAAGGAGAGACAGATTCAACTGAAGTTATGACCTCAAGATTAATAGAAATGATAACACAAGCGGTGTCAGAGTCAACTGAAGCTGCGACCTCGAACCCAACGGAAATTACAACAGAAGGAGGGGGTGTTTCAACTGAAGTTGTGACCCCAAACCCAATGGAAACAACAACATCAGGGCAAGAAGAAGTGTCAACCTCTGAAACAGAAACCACAACGCAAACAAACGAAAATAATGGGGGCTTGTTTCAGGAAATATCTACAGTTATACAAGATGTCATCAACGTTGTGATTTCTGCAGTCGAACTTCCTTTCACTGTTCCTTATAATTTTGCTAGAGGGTTATTTGGCTAATGTGTACTACAACTTTCACTAATTACAGCTCTTTCATTATAACTTTTTCATTTTTTTGAAATATCCATAAGTTTCAAAATTATTTTACAGAAAAATAAATGTTCATAAAGTATACCCTATTTTACTCTTTGGTCTTTGCAAACATAAGGAAATTAGGGAATTATTATTTAAGTTTAATATGGCATTTTAAAAGGAAAAAAGATATTTTTTAGTGTTAGGAAACAAAAATTTCAAGGAATCGCTAATATTTCTATAATAAAGAGCCGATACATTTTCTATACTAAGGAGATGTTAAAATTTAGATTACATTAATTCGATGAAATATGTTTTATATTAAAATTTCATTGCAAAATGTTGTTCTATCGTATTATTTTCCATTTTTTATGAAACAGTTAAAATTAAAGGAACTATTTTACTAAATGGCAAAAATTAACATGAAAAATGTCCCATAAACAAACATACTATGGTTAAAAATACTCAACAATAAGGAACCTTTTTCTGGTTCACGGTAAGTGGAAAATACTTCAAAGCATAAAAATTAACTAATTTTACTAATCCTTCCTTTTTCTTGCTCTAACAAACATGCTGGAACAAGAAAAAATAGAGTTGATAAATAGGTATAGGGTGAAAAAGTTTGTGTTAGACAATTAAACAAAAGAGGGCATATGATATTGATGTAGAGTGAGAATCCATAATGTTGTAAAGCGTAGAATTTAAAGGAAAATAGATTTCCCCATCATTTTGAAATAACATAATGCTAGTTTATGATAATATTTTCATGATCTATTAATTAAACTGTTAGAGTTTTTGAAAAAATATGAAAAGATTCTCAGATGTCAAAATCAGTAAATTAAAAGCAGTGTTGGTTGATTTTAGCAGAACAAAACATATCCCATGATTACGATTCTTACTATGTAGGTTGATGGAAAATCATTTAATTTCCTGAGTTAGGACATGTCTTTCATGTTCTTTAGGTCTAAAATAAAGGGTATGTTTAATTTGTCCAATATAAACAGGAACACGCTGACAAGAAATTTACGAAACATCACAACTATTGATACAATCAATTTGGTCTATAAGGTTATTATTTTCATTAACAGGAGAGAAAATGACTTAAACTAAAGTTGGTTTATTATTTTAATTATTTAGGGAATGAATCGGTAAAGCATATCAAATTATCAATGGAATTTCACTACATAAAAATCTTCTTGCTGATAACAATAACTGGGTATTTGCCGAATTTAAGGTCAATATGGTTTTGTGAATATTTGCTTACAGATATCCTCAAGGGGACGTTATAATACGATGGGAGAAGCAATTCATAGCAAATTCTGCTTTACTTAAATCAATAGTGATTTGAAATTTTGGTGAATGAAAAAATGAATTCAAATAAACTATGAAGTTTCAAATCCTGAAATGTTTGTTATACAAAATTTCAAAATACAAACAAATTATGACAGGATTACTTCCCATCTTGCCATAAATTGTTTGCATTTTAATATTTCGAAAAAAAATTTCAGAATTCGAAACTTCGTAGTTAACTTTTAGTAATTTGGAATGAAGAGTTCTCTCTTAAGGCTTGGTTTCTTAGGACAGGACGCCGTCAGCTGGAAATCAGCGTTAACCTCTGATTGGTCCATTTGTGAGTTTGATAGTATACGTCATCGAACGCTCATCTTGAACTACAATTGCCGTCCAACTCAACTGCAGTTGGATTACAACGTGACGTTAACCACAGAAGCAATGGCGGACAACATCCAACAGCGCATTGAAATCAGCCAAGATTTTGATTTTGACATTAAACATAGCTTCTTCATTAAACATAGCACTCTTCATTTAGCTCAGCTATAATGTGTTTTTTCTTGGACAAAGTCATTATTTGCTCTCTAAAACACTGGTCGACAATAACAAAATCAATGCAAATTCAAAATAAATATTTGTTTACGTTATTAACGCATGCGCAATGAGAGATAATGTCTGCGTTAGACCGACTGCTCACGCTGAGCTAACAAAAAAGTATTTTTTTGGCGTCAGATCTACGTCAACTTTCCACTGACGCCCAGATAAGGCGCTAGTTCTAAGAAACCAGGTCTTGAGCTAACAAACCAGTATTTTGTTGGCGTCAGCGTGACGTTGACGTCACGCCGACGCCCAGATAAGGCGCTTGTCCTAAGAAACCAGACCTTTAGACGCATTCTTAAGGTTATGTGTTGGAAAATATAAAGAAAATCACATTGACAATAAATTTGGTTATCACCAACAATTGTTGACAACAATAGGAGCTTTAAGTGTGAAATTCGATTGATAATTTGGTATCCTAACTCTCTTAATTATTCCCTAACAAAGTAATTCAGTAACTAATATGAATCAACTTCATTATTCATATTCAACTAATATGATATTCGTTGAATCAACTTCATTCAAGCATTATCGTTACTGCGATATTTTTGTTGGAAATTTGAAAACTTGAATAACATCTCTCTGGAAGCCGTGAAGACTTAGAGGATAGAGCGTTGAAACGAGTCAAGCTTTATTAAGAAGCGGTTTGTTGTTTAAAAAAACACATCTATTTAGCAACCACACAAGTATCAAAATTAAAGTACCCATAACGGGTTTGTATAAACCTTGCAAAAAAATATAGAAAAACCCATGACGGGTTAGTATAAACCTTGAAACAAAAATATAGAAAAACCCATAACGGGTTAGTATAAACCTTGCAAAAAAAATATAGAAAACCCCATAACGGGTTAGTATAAACCTTGCAAAAAAAATATAGAAAAACCCATAACGGGTTAGTATAAACCTTGCAACAACAAAAATATAGGAAAACCCATAACGGGTTAGTATAAACCTTACAAAAAAATACAGAAAAACCCATAACGGGTTAGTATAAACCTTGCAAAAAAAATATAGAAAAACCCATAACGGGTTAGTATAAACCTTGCAAAAAAATATAGAAAAACCCATAACGGGGTAGTATAATCCTTGCAAAAAAATATAGAAAAACCCATAACGGGTTAGTATAAACCTTGCAACAACAAAAATATAGAAAAACCCATAACGGGTTAGTATAATCCTTGCAAAAAAATATAGAAAAACCCATAACGGGTTAGTATAAGCCTTGCAACAACAAAAATATAGAAAAACCCATAACGGGTAAGTATAAACCTTGCAACAACAAAAAATATAGAAAAACCCATAACGGGTTAGTATAAACCTTGCAACAAAAAAAAAATATAGAAAAACCCATAACGGGTTAGTATAAACTTTGCAACAAAAAAAATATAGAAAAACCCATAACGGGTTAGTATAAACCTTGCAACAAAAAAAATATAGAAAAACCCATAACGAGTCAGTATAAACCTCAAACAAAAAAAACAAAAAACATCAACATAACATCTCAGAAATCAACAATTCTCTGATGTTCCATAAAAATCTCGTGCTTTTATTTTTTTCCATCTTGTTATATCTTTTGTATCTTTTATTAATGCTCTTGCTAGCCAGATACTTTTTAAATATTTTTAGACTTCATAACTCCTCCCCCCTTGAAAGAACTTTTCCAGAGAAAGCAAAAGAAAAGTTATTTATGAACTTATTTGTGTACTTCTTTAAACTTCAGGTTGAAACCAATGCATTATGTAACAATCAAAATCTTTTAAAACTAAATTTTCCAAATGTCAAATTAAATACCTTGTACAATTAGAAGTGATGTACAATATTTAACTTTACTAAATTACTTTTAGACTCTTGCAGTAAACATTAGAGGATAATTCACTTGTAACAAAATTTAGATGTCGAAACAAACATTGAAAATAAAATTAAAATGCTACTAAATACTATAATTAAACTTCACAAAAAATAAATACAAAGAAGTATAACTCTTTACATATACACAACAATATCTAAAGACTGAAGCTAACTAGATCTTTTTTTAAATCAAAATACTCATTTTTATCTCGATGTCACTAGTTTTAAAACCAAACAAAATGCTTAAAATTTTTCAACTTCCCATAATTAGATCCTAACTCAATTTTATTAATATTTACATGCATAATTTAGGAACACTAGCACTTTTCTCTACAATCATATTCGTTTAACACCTATTATTCATTTCCAAGTATAATAATTTTAAACACTTTATTTAATTAAGCTTAATTAGTTCAATTTCAAAAAATTTCGATACATTTTTCTTTTATACTTCCAGCTTAATTTAAAACTTAAATTTAAATCAAACTCTTATAGCAGACTAATTTCTTTGCTAGTTAACTGTTTTTAAAAGTGAATCATACATATGAATAAACAAATAAGACTTAACTGCACATAACATCACAACATAATATTTACAATTATCTTTAAAACAAAGCAAAAGAATTAAAATCTTACTATTTAAATGAAAATTGCTCGAAGAGAAATAATTAACAAAATCTTTCCTGAATAATATTTTAAACTGTTTTAGTTTTCTAGTTTAATAGCAATTAACTTAAGTTTTAAAAATCGTTATATTTTTTTGGCGATTAAGGATTATATTTTCAGTATTATTTTTATTTTTATTCTGATGAGGTTAGTCTAATGTGGGGTAATTGGCAAATTTCGTAATCCCATGACTTCTGTTGTAGATTTTAATATTCTTTCACCAGTTTTTGGCATTATCTTTAGTAAAGGCGTGGCTTTGTTTTCGGAATCAGGTCCCAAATTAAGAATGTTCTTTTCTTTGTCAAGTCCGGTCTATAAAGGAATGTTTATCATATTTTACAATATTTTTTTATTGAAGTTATACTTCTTATGCGACTTCCAACAAAGTTGCGTTAAACGTTTAACGCTGCATTTTTATTTTCCGGGAAATCACGTGGTAGGATCCAGTTTTCCATATTGTTTTGGTTCTCACTAACATAAAAATAATAAAAGTCATAAAAGTATTGTTTTTCTATAAATATTTTTTTAGTTTTTTTGATACACATATAATTTAATAGGGTAGTATTTTTTATTTTCAAATTTAGTGGATAACAATTGTAAAAAATGAGTGAAAACAATCCCACGGACAATGCGACGGATTTAAGGTTATGTGATGGTACGTCTCTTGTG